TGTCTGCCTTAAGTGACTGGCTGTAGGTATTGGCATGATATTAAGCTATTTATATAAAGTAATCAGTTTTTGAAACAGTTCAGGCTAATATTTCTTGTTTGAAGTCTATAAATCACGGCTGGTGCACAGGAAACTGAAATCTTGCTGTGCCTCCCTTTTGCATGTTGTATTGCCTGAAAGCAGCTAGGTATTACAATTTTCCACTATCCCATGGTTGGGGGTTTTTTGTTTTGTTTGTGGGCAGTTTTTTGGGGGGTTGTTTGTTTGGTTTTTTTTAGCTTCAGACTGGGTTTTCTCCATTAAAAATCTGTTCTTATCTGTGCTTGGCAAGCACCAATACTTTTTGTCATATAAAGGGAGCTGCAGTGTTTCAGGGAATTCCTTTTAACTTTCTTAAGTACTTGCTAGCCTTTATCAAAAGGCTCCTCAGCCCTTAACAGACTCTATTTAATTGGCCACTTGCATGGTCAGTTAATATACCGCCGTGGAAACCAAGTGGTAAAGTGTGAACAGCCGACCCGGGCACTGTGAACCCAGCCACCGCTCTGAAACCCACGGCTATTTATATCCAAGGCAGTGTTTTGTCATGTTGATTTTTATTAGCACAGATTAGATACGGACAACTTGGGAGAAGTCACAGGTGAGTCAGAAAATGTTAACCACGGGCCACTTAAAACAGGCAAGTCTGCAAGCGAAGGCTGGGGCTTGGAGCCTGGTGTCTGCCCTTCCCACGGCAAATGGGGGCACGGTGTGGGGCCAGGCTGGCACTGCTCTGCTTCTCTTCATCCCCTGGGACAGGCTGGACCAGCCTTGGATGGGGGAAAGGAGCCTGGCTTAGGGAAGGGCTTAACCCACCCTCAGGAAAGGTTTTCGGGTCTTCTGTGCAGAGAAATGTTTGCTAGAGGATGGCAGGAGCACTGGGCATGGCTGGAGCGTGGCGATGCTCTCAGTGAGCTCAGGAATGATGCAACACATGATGTATCAGAGACTTTTTGGGGGGGTTAAAATTTATTTTCACCTTTAATGCATTTATTTGATTACCTCTAAAAGCAATGTGAGGCAAAATGGTCTTGTAATGAAGGAAAAGTGGGTGATGCCCGTTGACATCTCAAGCTGCTCCATCGGTGGTGGCAGTAGGTCCTTATATTTTTATGTGGGTAGGACCCCGTGTACAGTGCCAGCACTCTAGTGCTATGAACCTACAAAGCTGCTACTCTGAAATCTCACCTTCCTAAGAGCCAAGTCTTATGATTTATCTCCAATCTTAAAGTTATAATTGGATTTCTCTCCAAGGCTGAACCAAATTTTTGTCCCTGGCCATGATTTTTTGTTATAATTTTAGAAGACCTGTCAGTAAGAAATTTACATTTGTTCTTTGTTTACAAGCATTGCAAACAAAAAAGTTAATTAACAAAAATGATTATACATGTCTGCTTGCCTATTTATTCTGGTTCTATTCATGGGAGCATTAAACATGCTGCAGCTATACTTGTCCAGTTAAAAAAACCCCACCTGTGCTACGTATTTATAGAACCTATAGAACTCCAGAGAGAAATTGCTTTTGCTCAGAGCAAGGGCACTGGATGTTCCCTGCTCCTCTATTGCCTTCCCCTTTCTAGGAACAGGAAAAAGATCATCACTCAGTGGAAAATGAAATTGAGAAGTCTGTATCTTGGGATCTGGCTTTCTGCTTTGGGTGGCCCTTAGCTGGACCAACTCCCTTTGCCATCACGGTGTGTAAGATCAAACCTGAGTATTGTTGTTCCCGTTACATACCCTTCTCCCTGATCCTTGGAAGGGAGTGAAACTGCAAGTACATAGGTGTGACATGGTGTGCATCTGTGTGTACAAGTACTTATGTGTGAGTATTTACAAATAACAGTTGTGCAAAAGAGTTGTGACATAAGGTGTGCTACAAAGCACTTCACATTTCTGTATGCTCCTATGAGTACAATCACTAATTGTAAAAAGTATCTCAAATCAAAGGGGTTATCCTACAACCTCTTGCATGGACGTAGTCCTACTTCACAGAGAGAGAGAGCAGCACTCATTAAAGCCAAGTAAAAGGCAATCAGGTTCCATTTGTAATGTTAACATCCAGCAACACAAACTCCAAAACTGGTTCATGTCTCTGATCATTCCTTTTAGATGCTGCACGAAAAGCTGCACTTGTCAATAACCCTTCAAATAATATGAGTAAGAATACTAGCGTGTGGCAGATGCGAGCGTATCTGTTACCGAGCTCGTGAAGCTGGGCTTTCCTGGACCAGTTCCAACTTTGGCAAGGGGAACTTTAGCTGAGTAAGAAATCCAGGCTGTCATTCGTGAAGTAGCTGGCATAGGTGCAAAGCCTCCCTGGTCTTTGGGAAGGTGAAATAGCATTTTATTTTTTTTGTCTTTCATTGCACGATGCATTCCATTCTAAAAAGTTAAAATCAATACCAGGGTGCCATACGTTGTAAACATTTATCATTTATTACGCATTTAAATGTGCACAGCACATACACCACAGTCTTGAACAGCACCTGTATAAAACTACAGACAGATTCTGGCAAATGGTGAAAGCTCATACCATGTAACATTGTCGTCAAGGTTTTATCACAATATTCCAAAGTTACAACAACTACCTCTGAATGTATCTCATGTGAGGCTGTTGGTTGTGGATTTAATAGAGTGAAAAGTGGCAAAAGACGAACCATTCCCAGAGAAAATCTTTGTGGTTTGATTTTGGCTGTCTGAAATCTGGAACAAAATCATAGGTTGTCAGAGGTAGTGGTGATAATTACACAATGATCACTCACATAGAGAAGACACAAAGTACAGAAATTCCCCAAATTACAGAGCAGAAATATTTTAAAATCCTTAGGCGTAGTATTTCCTAGGCATTCTCTCTTGATTTAGCTTCCTTTTTCTTAATTCTTATTACAGAAATATTTTAAAATCCTTAGGTGTAGTATTTCCTAGGCATTCTCTCTCGATTTAGCTTCCTTTTTCTTAATTCTTATTTTTACTTTGACAGCAGTTGGCTTAAGATCTGGTCCTGGTCTGCTCTGGTCTTACTGAACTTTGGTGAGTAGATTTTGTCTTCAAGGCCATGTGTAAGTAGAGGATACAGGCAAGTCTATACCATTACAAAGGAACAAAGACTTTTGTGTAGGAATGTAAAGAGGAAAAAAAAAAAAAACAACTCAGATTTGCATGTAGTCAGAATTAACTAGTTTAGACTGGAAGATGATCTGTAAACATCCTTTAAGTCATCCAACACTCTGGTTAGTTCTGGTTCCCACCTAACATATTGATGCCCCAAAGATGATGTATCTTGAGAGGAGAGGAGAGGAGAGGAAAAAGGAAAGGAAAAAGGAAAGGAAAAAGGAAAGGAAAAAGGAAAGGAAAGGAAAAAGGAAAGAAGAAAAGGACAAATGGATCCTTTTAGTGGTTGCCCCATAATCAAACTTGTCCTTTCCTTCATCACATTAGAGACATGAGTTACACTTGCAAAATATATAAGGAAAAATATAGGGTTACTTGATGACGATATAGTACTGCAGCCTGACAGCTGTCTGCAAATATTTTCACCATGATTATCCTTACTAAAAGTAAACCACTGGGTAAAGATAGCTCAAACGTGACAAGGCTCAAATAGGATGCAACGAACTCTATCCTGAATACTTTTGGCTACATATGGAAAAAAAGAGAGATTTGGGATTATGATTGTTCCCCCAGGCCCTCCTCCAGAACTGTAAGACCAAGCAGAAAAGCGTGTACCTTCCTTCCACGCAGATTTTGTTAGGAGACTGGCTCAGGGAGTTAGTGAGGTAGAAATTAATCAATCAACTTTGTCAGGGAATGAGACAGAAAAAAGCAGCATATTTCTCCTTCTAAATACTGCACCAAAAATAATAAATAGCACAAAACAACCTCAATTCTTTGTGATCATTCTAAATTCTCTCTGTGGAGCTTGTGTTTTCTACGGACCAGCAAATGCTTTTGCCTTTTGAAAACTTATGAGTATTATAGAGTTTCACAACCTTTGAAAAATGAATGTAGTCTCCAAATGTGAAAGGGAATTTGATTTGAATGAAATGTCATTCATTCACGGTAGTCTGTTTTGCAGTGCACTCATTGTGGGAGGGACAGAGACATTTCTTTTTAGCCTAATGCCAAGCAATGGTATCAAATATAAGCTTCCATTAAGGGCCACAAAAGCTCGTATGCTCCTGTTTATCTGAAGAGAAAAAAAATATCTCAACTCTGCTGAGTTTATGAAGGTGTTTAAGCCTCTCCACCGCCTGGCAGCTCTAAGAAGACGGACTGCAGAAAAGTTCAAAGTTCATCACTGGCAGATCTAAAAACAGATTTGTGGGGTAGCTCCTCAGCCCTGCGCTTTCTGTACGGAGGTAAACCGATCCCGTTCCAATGAAATAGCACTGCCGCACAAAGGGGGTCAGGCATTGTGTGTGGCTCCGCACCGGCATCCCGGCCAGGCACCTCTGCCACCGCGCCTTCGCGGGGGCCAAGAGCTGCTTTGGGACTCACGAGGGGTTTGGGAAAACACACAGAGGAGAACAAAGCCACCGTAAAAAACAAACAAACAAACACACAAACAAATGTACAGGGATAGACAGTGTACAACACACAAACAGTGCAAAACGTTGTAATAGGGGAGTTGAATTTCACCTGGTTGAGGACACGGAGTAGCAGCACACCTGTGATAACTTAGAAATGAATTAAATAAACCACCACAAAGCAGAGGTCTTCTACTGTTGCACCATGAAATGAAATACCCTGGGTTGGAGGTTTGTTTTGTTTTCAGAAATTTTTTAAAAAAAGTCAAAACTATAAATAAATTCTGTGGCAATATATACAGATTTAAATAATTAACTTAAATATCTTACACCTACTCTTGCATAAAACTCTCCAGTAAAAGTGCACCATGTTTCTTTTCCCCAAACGTGTTCTGCGTCTTCCCCTGGGCTGAGGTAGGTCTGAAGGGAGATGTCTCAGATTCTAGGAAGAAAATGTGTCACTGTCATTGTGGGAGATACTTTATTGCCTTTCTTTGTTCTTCCATTTTTGCTCAGGGCTATGTACATCCCGGGATAAATCCTGGATTCGTAAGCATTGTAGTTGTTTGGCAGGAGAATCTCTTTGAATTTGCACTCGTCATTGAAATGGGTCTGAAATGAAAAGGAAAGAAGGAGAGGAAAGGAATTTTAAGCATCAGGTGTGGAAATATTCTTCCTACCAGGTGCAGAAGGTGTGCTGGGGGGAAACGGTGCAGCTGACTTGCCTCCCTTTGTAATCTTTTGAAGTGGTCACCCAAAGGAAGCTTCAAACAGCACTCGGGGAGCCAGAGTGTCCAGGCCAGGAGGGAAGGACACCTGTGGCTGTATCTGGGCTGTTGAAGGAGAGGGACACATCTTCACAGAGCTGCAGTGGGGTAAGGCCAGGTCCAATTCTGCTGCCCTGCTCATCTGATCGCCCAGTGGTTGTCTTACCAGTAATAAATTGCCTGAGAGGCTTCAGAAAAACCTGAATGCTAGCACTTTATCATGGAGAAATAGGTGTTTTAAAGACACTCAGAGTAGACAATTTTTTCTGATTCTTTAGTTTTAAAATCACAGGAAGGATTTGGGTTCACTTCTGTTAATGAATCAGGAGAACAGAGATGGCAAAAGGCAACTTTCCAGGGAAGAGATTTCATTTGCAAGTACAAAGAGGGACAGGTGCTACAAGTGTGCTGTTATCTGGAGAGGAACAAATGAACTCTTCATCTCTTCTTAGTGGGCAAAAGCCTAGGGTTTTGTAAGAGACATCTCAGCCGCCTGTCAAGCTGAACACCGCCCTGGAAATTACTCTGCCCAGGACACCAAAGTAGCAGTCTTCATAAGAAATGATGCAAAGGGAGCCTTTGCACTTTGGTGGCTGAGTCTGCCTGGCTCTTATATAAGTCAAAACCCTCTGTAACAAGACTCATGCCCCAGAAAATAAATCCGGATGCTTCATGTCTTCATGTGAAAATGCCCAAGTTAACTGACATAGTTTGGCTTTGACATAGTTTGGCTCTTCCTCAGACCACGTTTCTTCATGGCATACTTGAGAAACATGAAATATAGAAGCCATGGGTAAGGAAGGAGACTCAGGAACGTGGGCTTGAAATGATGCTGATCACAGTAACTCATACAGAGGTGAACTCAAAAGCAGGAGGACAGCTCGACATGGGTGAACACATGCACTGTTGTTTATTGTCCACCCCAAATACAACTTATAAGATGCCTCCACCTTTTCCAAAGATCCAACGTAAAAAAAAGATCTGTATTGTCTCCTAATATATTTGCCTTCTTATAAGTATAGAGGTCAAACCCTGAGGATGCTGAACTGGTCCTGGGAACAGACTCTCCAATCAAGAGCATTAACAAAGAGTGATCTATAGGTGTGTGACAGGCACTGATTCTTCTCATCATAAAGGACCATTTGTGGGGTCCTGGCTGATCACAAGTTTAAGAGCACCCTGACAGATGAAGTGGGCGATTGCCATACCTGCTTACAGCTGTTTGTACTCAAATACAAGAAAGGAATGGAGGTCTAGCTTGAGGTCTTGCCACACAGATGACTACTCGGTTGGTCTGTGTGGTAGGCAAGATGGATAGCCATGGTTGGGTGACTACAGATTTTATGGGGGAACCAAGGATGTGTAATGCAAAGAGTGGGTTTTACTCCAAAAGTTCAGCATACGTGGGCAGCACAACTTCTGTTGGCAAGGCAGCAAGGGCTGAGCTGTTGCCTGACGTAGGAGGGGCAAGGATGGGGCTTGGGAACCACGCACACCTCTCACCCCAGCTAACCATGGTCCCCTCCCCAGGCACACAATCGGTGGCTACTTACAGATCCATAGAGTTTGCCTTTGCTATTCATGGCCACGAAGAGTCCACTTCTAACACCAAATATGCTCACCACTCCTCTTTCCACGGGGGAGATTTCCAGCAGACCTACAGAGGCAATACAAGAATCAGGGGGCCAAAGGACTGCGCCCCGAAGGAGGGTGTGGTGTCAGTGCTGTGCCCACCCTGAGGCTCCCATCACCAGTGTGCTCCAGCACTGCTGTGGGTGGTCGTGGAACCCCAGCCTCACGCTCCATGTGCCGCCCCATGCCCCATGCTGGGACCTCTCTTCTTTTAGCTAAGTGTCTATTTTTACTTTGCCCCCAGGAATGCTCCTGTATAGCTGAGGTTAAAATAAGCCAAAGTGTGCTTGGGGCAAATGAAACATTTGTCATCATGCAGCTTATATTCCTCCCCCCCTTCACACCCCCTCATCTCCCTGGATCTTATTGTTTCAGTTGGATATTAGAGTCACAGGGCCACGGGGTTAAGTCCCCGGCAGACGCTTGTCAACTTTGGGGGAGAGCTGAACTCTCCCCATCCCCTGCTCAAGAGTGGGCGACCCTCCAAGATGTTAAGGCAACCCCAACACCTGGCGCCAGCCCGCGGTAAGGGGCCAACACG